CAGTTTAAATTAATCATTTTGACATAATCTAATCGTGTATCCGAAACATGGCGACGCGAGCCGAACGCGCCCGACCGCTCACGGAAACATCCGAACGTTGACAGTCCGTCAGCCGTCACCACGGCACACTTCTGCTATGTATTTTACATAGGTGCAGTACTCCGCCGCGCCGGTAACTAGCTTGTGTGCATTCAAATACTATTTCTATTTTTTCAATCGATATTGTACCTCTTTGATAATGTTTACGCGTAAATCGGAATCGTAAAATTTATTAGTGTTGCAGTCTCGGCGTGGGACGCACGTCTGAAGCCGCGATGTGTGATCGTTTAGTTTTCCACCCCGATTTTCTTTTCAACACACGTGTATGAGTTTACGTATACTAAAGTGAAGTCATTGACTCTTCGTGACACACATTCTATTTGACGGAACTGCACGTCGCGTCGGCTGTTCCATAGACATTCATTTCTATTTTGTAAAATCATATTGTTTTACCAACGTTCTTGTGTAGTGTGCGTTGTTTGGTGTCGTTATCACTGTATCTAGATAAGGCGTCAAGGCAACATCCTTGGGTTCGCGATTCGACAATTGTGTGAATTGTTTTTTTCATAATTCCGCTTTTACAATGAACTTTTTGTTTGTATTCGTCAAACAGACGTCCTTGCTTTTCGGACGATGATCACTTATAACAATGTAAATAATGGACAATTTGTTTAACTACCGGTTTAGCGTAATTTAGAATGAATCTCTATGTATGTCAGATCTAATCTAATCGTAAATATGACCTACATCCTAGCCACAAACGACGAGAAACTGAAAAATAAAATACAATCGAGAAATTCAAATTTTCGAATTTACATTTTCCAATTCGAATCATAAAACTTTCTCAAGCGATCAAACTAGGTTAAACGGCGTCATGGCTGCAAAAAAGAGAAAAAAAAACGCTACACGTCACAAAACGAGTGACGTTTGACGCGCCATATTCGAAATATGAATAATTTCCCGAAACAATCGAAGGAAGATGCGCGCGTTTCACGGACACGTCTGCATTTTATTTATAGACGCGAATGTTTGATTTGTACAGCGACGTAGTTTACCTACATATCTACCGTCGCGGAATGTACATTATATACCATCTTGCACTATGTACTGCGGATACAACAATATAAGCGCTGTCTGTGTGCGTGCCACCGTAATGAACGTTTCTATGTGCTAAGAAACAGTAAAAAGTATGGCGCGAACGGTACGAGCGGCAACGTCGCGTGCGTTCCGAGGCCGCCGCGGTGAAAACAATAGTCTTTTATTATTTAATTTTACTTGAATATATTATTTTAAATGATCATTCTACGCTAGCGAATAATATATTTCGTTAATTAGCCGTGATTCGCATTCGGAAACTGGTTTTTTCGTCACGTAAACAATACCTCGAAACCGACGCCGGTATGCAGTGTTATGAAATTCAATACATACTTTCTTGCTCAAAGATCGATACTAAACGCGTCATCGGGAGCTCTTTAGCGATATTATGAAACGTTCAATTACAAAACCACATTGGGAATAGGAAAGAAATCAATATATCAATGATAAAAAAACAAACAAAGCCAACGAAAATAGCCGGTGGGATGAAAAAAAAAATAGTAACCGATGTTGACCTTTTCGAACGCGCCTCGCTAGTAGCGCGGCCAGCTGACGCGACGTTGCCGCACTTCCTGCCGTGCCCTGAACCGTTCACGCTTATCGCCTTTACGGCCACGCGATTAGGCCCATATTCGCATAGCAACGTTAAGTATATAAAGGATTTAGGACGTTTCACAGTACTGACACTTCCCGCGCGAAAAATTTGAAATGCTTTTATCAGTCGCACTCGGTGATGCGCGCCGTGTAGTAAACTTGAATATTTACTCTGTATTAAATAGTTTTATTTCGTTTGTTTTTAGATTTTATTTGCAATATATGAAAGAATTAGTGTTTTGTATTGAAATAGTTTTTTAAATACAAGTTTACAAAACCAAAGTGCCCAAAGTTTAATATAGACTTTATTAGTGTTTACAAAATATTTATTAAAAGTAGTTATTTAAATTGTCTTACTACCTATTTAAAGTTATATAAAAAGTGTGTAAATAAGTGTGAAAATCCGAAAAAAAGGAAGAAAATCTCAAGAAAATTCAAGTCGAAGTACCAGGAGCGCATAGTTGTAAAAGAGTTCACTGCTCCGCGGCCGTACAAGTGTACAAGTGACGCTGTGACGCGATGATGGCGCGGTGACAAAGTGGCCTACATGCCGGTGGCGCTGGGCTCGCTCGGCGGCGAGGGCGAGTACCGCGAGTACGGCCACCATCTCTCGCCGCACCACCCCTCACACATACAGTACCATGAGTACGCGCCGCCGCCGCCGCCGCCGATATACCACCCCATCCCGGACCCCTATTTTAGGTAATCTCTTCACGAATTATTGGCGCCTAGTACTTTTGGTAGGATAGAGAGTTGTCTACATTTAGTTGAGTTCTGTCGAAGTTACCATGAGAATGAGCATTGACTTTGAGTACGCGCCGCCACCCATATAAACACATCCACCCAATCCCGGGCCCCTATTTTAGGTAATCTCTTTACGAAATATAAGTACTTAGTACTTTGGTAGGATAGACGAAATTTTTAGCTATATTGACTTGACTGATTTTGGTCGAGTGCAAAGTTACACATGTTACCATGAGCCGCCTGCGATATACCACCTCTTAATATAACTGCGATTAATAGATTTATATTTGGTGCTCCATCGTAGACCGCATCATCGCTTACTACCAGGCGAGGTAGTGGACAAACGTCGGCCCATCAAATATAAAAAAAAAATTTGGTAACTAATAAACCTCTTCGCGGATTATGGGCGCCTAGTACTTTGGTAGAACAGAGAAACCAATGCAGATACTTGGACGAAATTAAGTATCATTTAGTTGCGTCTCATAAGGTTACAAGCGCGGATGGTACCGGTGCAATTTCCAAATCCGACAATCTGGGTCCAACCATCTAAATGTTTTTTTTATTAGTACATTTTTTAAGTTTACCTGTAATTTATGAAGTCAGTTACATAACTCCACAGTGCGCAACAGTTTAATTTTACGTTAGCATTGCTTAAGTGTTACATTGTTACAAAGTGGGTGTTACATTGTACAGTGGCATTAAGTGCTGTAAAGTGCACCTCTGCCTACCCTTTCAGGGATAAAAGGCGTGATGTTATGTATGTAATCATTGCTTAAGAATATGACCCTCAATAATTGATGAACTCAATGAAAAACCTTATATTTTAACATTTTTTGGAATTGGAATTCTTTGACTACTAGAAATAGATGTTTTATGTTTGACACATTTTGTATGAAAGAAGAAAAACCCTTTCAAGTTTCCTTGTGCGTACTGCTAAGGAGTGGGATTCTTTGCCAGAGTCTGTATTTCCTGAAGGGTATAACCTGGATGTCTTCAAGGCCCGAGTGAATAGGTTGCTTATGGGACGATGTGCTCCATCGTAGACCGCATCATCGCTTACCTGGCGAGATAGTGGTCAAACGTCGGCTCATCAAATATAGAGGTATAAAAAAAAGAAGAAAGTAGTAATTTCAAGAAAATATGTAGTGTATGACCAGTTAGCAGTTGTATTAATGAGATGGTAGCTAATAAGCTAAAGAAGTATGTAAGGATCGTAGTCGTAGGAGCTCTGCAGTTTCTGCTTTTGCTTTTTCCAGGATGGCCTCTATCGACGTTTACCACTATTACTTTTGTGGAATCTTAAAACTGTCCCACAGCTTAGCAAAGACCTTTGTTCACACGGAGAAGGAATGAGCATTAATCACTTCGCTTGCTTAAACCAGATTGCTAATTTTAAACTTACAATTAGTAATTATAAGTCCAGCAGCTGTAGCCAAATGCCATTTAGCACTTGTCTACATGTAGAATAGAAAACCAAATTATATGGAATTGACGTAAATTTTGACACTTGTCAGTGTCATCCCCATACATTTAGTTTTGTACTCTCTCTATAGACAAGCGCTAAAGTGGCGTTTGGCTGAAGGCACAGGTTTCCTCACGCTGTTTTCCTTCAGGTGTTTAAAACTTCGAAAGTACATATAACTTGGAAAATCACATTGGTACTTGCAATAAACAAAACGTACTACCTAATTAAAAGAAAATCTTACAAATGCCATTGCTTTTCTCATTCTGTAAAGTAAGGCTTCATGGTGACGTAGTTATTACATCAGAATGATTTGTTTGTCGAACGGGTGGATATCTATAGCAAAATATTTGTAGCAATGTAGATGGATATCTATAGCAATCTGTCTGGGTTTCAAAATGAACCATTTCTTAGTACTAAGACATCAGACTTGCAGATGGAAGCAGGAGTAGGAACGGGGAGGTGTTTAGTCAGTCAGAGTCTGACTCTCCCTTTCGCCCCCTCAAGGCGGGAGAAGTCATTGGATGATTTTCCCTCCTCAGTACTAAGACAGCAGCATATCAAAATACTATATCAGTTTAAGTGCGGGCTCGCTATAATTTTCGGCACGAATGGGCCGGCTCGACCGGAGTGATACCACGGCCAGGAAACTGACGTGAAACAACGTTTGCGAACTCGAATTCCTTATCCCCAAAAGGCCGGTAACGCATTAGTAACACCTCTGGTGTTTCAAGTGTCTATGAGCGGCGCCGATTGCTTACCGTATACGTCAGTTATATGTCTGCTCGTTTACCGGCTTATACCATAAGTTTTGACAAAAATGTCAACAACTCGTGACACTGCTCCAACATGGGCCTTCTCTACATAATAGGGTTGCTAATCAGACGGGTTGAGGATCGCAGTTCAAAACATCCAGGTTTATCAGAGAGCGCTGCTGCCCGGTCTCTGTCAAATGTGTAGTCCCTTAGTCGGGTGTACGATACCCACGGGAAGAGTAGGGTTGGTGCCAAAGTGTATTAAATTCTTTTATAAAAACTTGCTAATTGTATGTTTTCTTTGATTTCAGGCGGCACGCTCCATATTTCGGACAACCAGACTACAGAGTTTATGAACTGAATAAGCGGTTACAACAGAGGACAGAGGTAGGTCCCTATTCCTAATCGTAATCCTATAGTCGAATATTCAGTTTTTACCAACTGCTCTTAAACAGGGATTAAGCACAGCACCTAAGTCAGGGATTCCCAACCTTTACTTGGTCAAGGACCACTTTTTAAAACATTTGTTAGGTTCGGACCACTACTAGTAGGTGTTAATTTCTTTCATGTAGTCAGTTGCAAGGCTCGTTCTCATAAAAATAGTGACTTTTCGATTGCTGAACTCTCTTGATCCTCCTACATAAGTTATTGTTATCGTTGTCTTCTTTGACATAAGTTTAACTCTGAGTACCGTCATTATAGACACAATTAAAGAACAATAGGTTGCGGTCACCGGTGACCGCTTGGTGTTTGACAGTTTGACAGTTTTTGGTATTTGACAGTCTTTTCTATTTCGCGAACCATATTTCGTCTTCTGCGGATCTCCGACCTAAAGTGGCCCTTTACTTGTACTGTCCTGTGTACTTATAGCTAAGTGAAAATCAAAATTACATTAAATATCAGCAATTTTAGATTAAACTGTCAAATACCGCGAGGACACCGGTGACCGCAACCTATTGTTCTTTAATTGTGTATATAATGACGGTACTCAAAGGGTTAAGGATTACTTAAATTTTAGGTAAGGTTAATGAAAACGGGCATACGGTATAGGTACTAGTTTAAATGCTTGGTTTTTTAGCCAAATTGATTTGCCAATGAGAACTTTCTACTTTTTGAGAAATCGGGTAAAAACGATGGTGCAATTCTAGTTTCTTATATGGCTACGCCTTCATACCTAAGAGCTTTGTTGCACAAAAAACGGCATCATTCACAGAATCTAATCAGCAGCTGTAGCCAAATGCCATTTAGCGCTTGTCTACATGTAGAATAGAAAACCAAATTATATGGAATTGGCGTAAATTTTGACACTTGTCAGTGTCATCCCCATACATTTAGTTTTTCTACTCTCTATGTAGACAAGCGCTAAAGCGGCGTTTGGCTGAAGGCACATGCAAGTTCGCCTTAGATTTTGTCAATAAAGGTATTTTAGACGGAATTACGTTTAGTTCTGTAGCGAATTACCTAATTATGTATGTTAAGTCAGTAAATTGTAAATCCGTAATTGGCTGAAAGAATAGTTTTTTTCTTTTATGGCATAAGCCGGTAAACGAGTAGAGCGGATCACCTGATGGTAAGCAATCGGCGTCGCCCATGGACACATGGAATACTAGAGGCTTTACAAGTGTTTTGCCGGCCTTTTGGGGACTAGGAGTTTGAGGATCGTTGGGGATTCAGAGACATATATGTTATGTGTAATGAATGATTGAGAGCTGTGGATTTTGTGATAAATCTATATTATACAAAAGAAAGTCGTGTTAGTTACTCTATTTAAAACTTAAGAACGGCTAAATCGATTTAGATGGAAATTGCTGGTGAGGTAGCTTAGAACCAGAATGCTTTTATCCATTTTTTTTTACTTTTTACCGAAAATCACTAACGGGAACGTGTAAAAACAGGATTTCGCGTACGAAGTCGCGGGCAGAAGCTAGTTAATAAATAAAAAAGGATGTTAACCTTCCATTTTTGACGAAAATAATAACAGTTATTAAAGTCAATTAAATGTAATTTTCGCACCAGGTAGATTAAACACTATGAACTTTAGAAAACTGGATAAATGCCTCAATTTAATCATTATTAGTAGTGAACTAACACGTCTTTATTACATAAACAATAAGGTTTAAATTTAAAATTGAACACCATAGTTTTGTTGCCGTCAATACGTTCTATGGCTAACAAGCAGATAAAACTCCAAAAATCATAAATTGTTGAAAATGAGGGTGTTTCCCCCTACTGGAAGCTCTGATGTATGTAGCTTAAGCTGTTGACTGCCAATAGAAAACTTTTGAAGGCGAATCCTCCGCTAACGTCGCGTCGGTCACCGTTGGCCCCACATGGCGATTAATGTGTTAAAGTCTATGGACTAATATCCTAGTGATTAAATTGTTAGGGCCTGCGGTCGGCGAGCATGGGTAACTCGTCGCCCGACCAGAACCAGTTGTATAGTTTTGACTTTTGACATTGAACTGTGTTTGAGTTTTCATTGGATTGCAATTGCATTGACATTGAGATTGGTTTCAAGAGTAAGCACCCAGGAGCACATGAATTCTAAAGCGTGTTTATTATTATTTCAGGACTCAGATAACCTGTGGTGGGACGCGTTCGCGACAGAGTTCTTCGAGGACGACGCGACGCTAACACTCACCTTCTGTTTAGAAGACGGACCTAAGAGATACAGTAAGTTCCCTTGTATTTTATGAATGCCTGGTAGGTACTTGTGAAATACAACATAAGATAACATCACGCCTTTTTATCCCCGAAGGGGTAGACAGAGGTGCACACAGCAGTATTATGTTATGAGTCTCATGTAATAGGGGGTGAGCCTATTGCCATATACCGGGCACATTTCCAGTCTCCGTGCTCCTACTGAGATTTTTTTTTAAAAACCCAGTAATACTTTCCCCGACCCGGGAATCGAACCCGAGACCCCTTGCCCGGCAGTCGCACTTGCGACCGCGAACTCGGCCAACGAGGCAGTGTGAAATACAATAACGGTTTTTTTTCCGATGATGTTTGAAAATAGTTGCAAAAATCGTAAGGAACAGTCGCATAAATGGTTTTTGGGTTTGAACTTCGAATCGGTGGGATTGCATGGGCTTGGGTTCGTGCCCCAGGTGGGTATAATGTGATAGGATAAGAGAAAGCATAGAATCTGCAATAATCTTGATTCTGGAAATTACAAAACACTTGATATCTATAGTCAGAATTTTAATTAGATTCCAGATTTGACAATAGCTACTGTCATTTTGTGAAATAATGATACCACATATAAATAGTGTAGTGATGAACACAAAAATCGATAAACAATCAGTGTGTGTGTGTTTTATAATAAATGTTACAGAAAGTGACAGGATAGCGATAGCGATGACGGCGAAAATTTATAAAATAACTTATTACCATAATACATCTATCTGTTTTATTTGCCATGTTCGTTCATGATTACATTTTTTTATTTATTTCACACACAATTATAAAAGAAACGTCTCAGATCGTTAATTAATCGTCAAAACTAAATTATCGGTTCAGAAATATTTAATTTTCTGATATACTTAGTTCACGAGAGTAAAATTATAATTATTATAAACGAGAAGAATCGATCCAGAAAAATTGCATTTCCATATCGAATAATTTCGCAACGTCACTATTTAGTACTTGTCATAACGTTGCCACACTGAAATTGTCAAATCTGGAATCGAATTAAAATTCCGAGTATAATGTAAACATTGAGCCTTCTGTTTAGAAAACGGGACCAAAGAGATATATAGTAAGTTTTTTTGTCTTTTAGTATGGAAAGAAAGAAAGAAAGGAAGGCTCTTTTGAATAAAATATTGAAATATTGAAAAATGACAGTCTGTCGGTCAGTCCTCTAGTTGGTCTATTTGCTCGTTCCAAGGTGTAGATTCCTATGGAGAAGGACGAGCAAGAAACTCCATAGGTTACTCTTTTTCAATCATGTTCACAATACTATTGTTTTGTTGGTTCAATTGGGTTCATTCATTAATCAAAAATAAATTAGGTCGACTACTCAATACAATAAAATATTAAAAAATAATCACACTTTGATTAATTGATTGTATGACCAACTTAATTTTAGTATTTTTCCAGTAAATGTTTTAGGAACAAGTATGTCGTTGGACGCTAAAAAAACGTGACGTCACAATACACAATCTTGTACAATATTCATAGATAACTGTCGTTTTTGACAGTTCGAAAAACGTATTGAATTTGACTAGTTGGCAAATACAAATATTATTTATTTCATCAATGTTGGTATGTTACAATAGATGGTAGGTAATATTATGGTAGTGCGCCACATTGTGTCTGTACAGACTTACAAAATTTTTATACTAAGTTCTCAATCAAGAGTGTTTACAGACAACAATCTACTCTGTCTATATTATAATACACATAACTGATAACAAACTTAATTAAAAAATTATAATAATGATTAATGACAAGTAACCAATTATGTGAGAACAATGTAACATTCTGCACTGCATTCCTGCATTTACTCCATTATGCTGTGCTAAGCTGTGCTGACTGTACATAAAAACTATGAAAATACTAATATACCGTTTTTCTACTTCCAGCAATAGGCAGGACGCTGATACCTCGATACTTTCGCAGTATATATGAGGGAGGCGTCTCAGAACTGTACTACACGATGCGGCAGCCCAAGGAATCGTTTCACAACACGAGCATAACGTTGGACTGTGATCACTGTACCATGGTCACGCACCATGGGAAACCTATGTTCACTAAAGTAAGTAGAATTGTCATAACATACAGAATTTTCTAGTAAAAAGTTGTATGTTCTTATAATAACTATCATGCACTAGCAAACCAGGCGAACTCCGTTTCGCCACCAGATGGCTTCGTTCTATGTAACATTTCGTTTGGTTATTAAAAGTGAATTTTCTTTGCTATAAACCTCACGGAGCCCGAGACCTTTCCAACGAATGCAAAACCGTTCGTGCGTTCTGGAGTTATAGCGTCAGGAAGGAAAACCCGACTTATTTCTATATAGTAGATGAGACACGATGAATTAACTAATAAAAAACCGACTTCTAAAAACCAAAAACGAATAACAAACAAAAAGTCGTGAAACAACGCTTGCGTTTCGTGTTTTTGTCGTGTGAGTGAGGTTACCGGACCGGAGGCCAAATTAATCGCCCTCATTTCTCGCCCAGTCTCTCCAATCCCCGTATCTCCACCTATCCTTAAATTCCTAATCCCCAAAAGGCTGGTAATCCACTTGTAACGCCACTGGTGTTTCAGGTGTCCATGGGCGGCGATCACTTACTATCAGGTGATCCGTCTACGCGTTTACCGGCTTATCACTTAAAAAAAATAGAAATTGTCGAATATTTTACGTTATTCTCCGGTTAAAATTTACCTGGCGTTGGACAAATCGGCCCTTATATGCTCTGAGTCACAATAAGACTAAGACAAATAAATACAAATACATATCTTTACACAATATTACATAACTTTTTTTTTTTAATTGTATTCTGGCTTTGCGTCAACCACTTCATTTCTCTGCACTTCCCTATGGTTGACTGTAAGAGAATGCCTTAAGGCATTAAGTCCGCCATTCATTATTCTTTTGTGTAGCAGAAATAAATAAATAAAAAAATATGATAATGCATTTAAACAACAAACTTTATTCCCCAGGTATGCACAGAAGGTCGTTTGATCCTGGAGTTCACGTTCGACGACCTGATGCGCATCAAGACGTGGCACCTGGCGGTCCGCGCGCACCGCGAGCTCATCCCGCGCGCCGCCGTGCACCCGCCCGACCACGCCGCGCTCGACGCGCTCGCCAAGAACATCACGCGCCAGGGCATCACCAACTCCACACTTAATTATTTACGGGTACGTATTCTGTAGTTCTTTTTACACGTCATTATTTAATATAACATACATAAAATCACGCCTTCTATCCCCGAACGGGTGTCGCGGAGAACCTAACCGGGTAACCGGGACTCCGGCTCGACGTGCAGGAGAAGGAACGGGGTGGTTTTTTGGTCAGTAAGAGTCTGACACTCCCTCCCGCCTCACCCAGGCAGGAGGAGTCATTCCATGATTTTCCCACCCTAAAAAAAAAAAATCCCCGAACGGTTAGGCAGCGGTGCACATTACGGCACTTATAGCCACAGTACAATGTGACACCCACTTTTCACTATTTATGTTATGAGTCCCATGTAATAGGGGGTAAGCCTATTGCCATATACCGGGCACATTCCTCCGTGCTACCACAGTTTTGTTTAAAACCCAGTAATACTTTGCCCGACCTGGGAATGGAACACGAGACCCCTTAATCGGCAGTCGCACTTGCAACCACTCGGCCAACCAGGCAGTCATTATATAACTTGCAATGTTATGAAATGGAATCTTGTAACAAAATTTTGAATCAGACATCGTCAACTGATTGAGCTGAAATTTCGCGGCTGTGGTATCACTCCGGTCGAGCCGGCCCAGCAGTGCCGAAGCATGGCTCTTCCACACATTTTTAACATTATTTTAACATTATTGATTATCTTTTAGTTATGCGTGATCCTGGAGCCGATGCAGGAGTTGATGTCCCGTCACAAGGCGTACGCTCTGTCGCCGCGCGACTGCCTCAAGACTACACTCTTCCAGAAGTGGCAACGGATGGTGGCGCCACCTGGTGGGTTAAACTTACTTTACTTTTTTACTTATTCCTATTATAGTAGTACAATTAGCCAAACGCCACTTTAGCGCTTGTCTACAGAGAGAGTAGAAATCAAATTGTATGGTGATGACACTGACAAGTGTCAAAATTTACGTCAATTCCATATAATTTGGTTTTCTATTCTACATGTAGACAAGCGCTAAATGGCATTTGGCTACAACTGCTGGTAAGAACATAAAGATAGATTCAGTACAGAGACAGTAGCTATTGTTATATTATTTTGTATTTTATATTTCTTCTCCTCTTATAATATCTTCTGATTCACTTCGTTGCGGGAACCAAGACAGTTACTCATGTCCCTGGGACGCGCCGGACTTTAGTGTTCCGGTGTTTTCATGGTTGTATCTACTGTAGATCCTGGCTTACAGGAGTTGCAGCGGTTTTGGGAGAGTGTGGCGGGCTTGTCCAAAAAAATAAATAAATAAATTGTATGCTTTGTAACGAAGCCATATCTTTTGTAACCATTGGTCGGCTCTAGACAACCGATGGTTACTGTCTCTGTACTGAAACAATCTTTGTTTTCTTGCCTGCATACTGAATAATTGTTCTGACTGTAGACTACACCTAAACTCTTTCATTATCTTACATTATTTGTTTTAAATCAGGATTTTTTTTGGTATTTACAAATGCAAAAATTCATATCGAGACAGTAATTTTATGTCTTCTTCATCATCATAACATCACGCCTTTTACCCCCGAAGGGGTGGGCAGAGGTGCATAATGCGGCACTTAATGTCACTGTACAATGTAACACCCACTTTTCACTATTTATGTTATGAGTCCCATGTAATAGGGGGTGAGCCTATTGCCATATACCGGGCACAATTCCAGACTCCGTGTTAATACTGAGGGTTTTTTAAAAACCCAGTAAGACTTTGCCCGACGCGGGAATTGAGACCCCTTGCCCGGCAGTCGCACTTGCGACAACTCGGCCGACGAGGCAGTAATTTTATGTATAACTCGTCTGCTTCGTTGTTCGAGTAGGCAAAATGGTGACTGCTAAGTAAGCGGTCTCGGACTCGAATCTCAGACCGAGTAAAGAATTAATGAGGATACTTTAGTTTTCAGAAATTTCTTTGTCGATTGGAAACATGGAATCCTATCTGTTCTTTTATCTTGGACCTTATTTCAATTTATTTCATTCAATATAACAAAGAGTCTAATAAGGACAGAGGAAAATGAAGTTCCCGTTAAGAAATGACTCCCAATGACATATCTAAAACAGCATTGTTTGTGTTTCCAGAGTCGCAGCGTCCAGCCAGCAAGCGCCGCAAGCGCAAGGGTAGCGGCGGACCCAACGCGGCGCCGCCCGCGCCCGCCAAGAAACGATCGCCCGGACCTAACTTCAGTCTCGCCTCGCAGGTATGTTGCTAACAATCTATCATTTTTTACTACATACATGATGTAAACGGAACCCTCCCGAAACGCTGACTAAAAGCTTCCAAGTTATTCATGCAACATCAGCCTTGAGCGGTTGATTCCAACTATTACCTAACGGGTTACCGGGGCTCCGGCTCGAAGTGCAGGAGAAGGAACGGGGTGGTTTTTAGTCAGTAAGAGTCTGACACTCCCTTCCGCCTCACCCAGGCGGGAGCAGTCATTCAATGATTTTCCCCCCTTAAAAAAATAACTACATAAAAGCAGCATTTAATGTGGTAGATGACTAATTATAATGGCAACGTTTTTATAATTAAAAAAAAAAATACAGTTTAAAATTTATTTATTTATTTATTTAATTCAACAACACATCCTGACAGGTTACACCCAATGCGATAATGTTGTCACTTAATATAAAAACTTATAATTAACATTAATAAAAAAAACTTAATACAAAAACTTATAACAAAATAATGTAGGTATGTAATTTTTGTCCCATTAAACTGTCAAACACCGCGAGGACACCGGTGACCGCAACCTATTGTTCTTTAATTGTGTCTAGAATGACGGTACTCAAAGGGTTAACGTGAACAAAACCACTGACAAAGCCTAGCGCATAATAATTAATCACTGATAAATGCCAACAACAACACCAACAGCCTATAAGTGGCCTCTGCTGAGCAAAGCCCTCCTCTCACACGGAGAAGGTTTGAGCATTAATCACCACGCTTACTCAATGCGGGTTGGCGATTACAAAATTATAATTAGAAATTATAAGCCCAGGTTTCCTCACAATGTTTTCCTTCACCGTTTGTCAGTGGTGTCTAGATAATCTTAGAAAGTACATATAACTTGGAAAAAGTCACATTGGTACTTGCTGGTGGTAGGTTTCGAGTGCACTCATGCATGAGAAGTGGGCGTCTTAAACCTCTGGGCCACCACGACATTTAACTGATCAATGTAAATCATAATAAAAAAAATTCCAACACCTACACCGTTTAAAACTTTACCAAACACGCTGTTTATCATTCATATACTATACTGGCTACTTCCGCGCGGTTTCACACGCTCTGTTCGGCTCCTATTGGTCGTTAGCTTGATGTTTTATAGCCTATAGCCATCCTCGATAAATGCACTATCCAACACAAAAACAATTATTCAAATCAGAATTGTAGTTACGGAGATTAGCGCGTTCAAACAAACAAACAAACAAACAAACAAACAAACAAAAAACCAAACTATTCCGCTTTATATTATAGTATGAGATTTTCTAGATTATAATAATGTTTTGCTGACTGAAAGAGACTGGGCCTCACGACACGGAATCCTAGTGTGGGATCCAGGGTCATACAAATATTTAACATAAAGCTTTTTGTCAATAAACATATTTTTATTATTTTATTCATATCTTCCCCAGGATGTAATGGTGGTAGGAGAACCATCTCTAATGGGTGGAGAGTTCGGAGATGAAGACGAGCGCCTCATAACTCGACTGGAGAACACCCAGTACGAGGGAGCAGACGACTGGAGCGCTCCCCCCCCTGCCTCGCCTGCCAAGACTCCGCCCAACCACTGACACCCCACCCTGCCACCCTGCCATCTCGCGCCCTGACCGTACTCCACCCTGTAACCTAGGTCAGGTCTTTTATATGTCTAGATAACTACTCTGTTGAAATACAGACAGAAATTTAAGTCGTCAAAACATTTGGTCCGTAATATAACTTGTTTTAAAATGTCCCTATATTAGGATTTCTTATCAAAATGTTTCCTCATTCTATAATTTTCTTCTTTTACAAAGATAAAGATGTATTCTGGTTGTCTCCTGTATCGTGTGTGCGTTTACAAACATACAAGTTCACATACATGACACACAGATACGGAATAATCTGCAAAAGTCAAATCTGGAATCGAATTAAAATTCCGAGTACAGTTACAGCTGTGTACAGTCTGTCACTCACTAAATCTATATAAAAGAAAGTCGTGTTAGTTACACCACTTATAACTCAAGAACGGCAGAATAGATTTGGCTGAAAATTGGTAGGGAGGTAGCTTAGAGCCAGGAGACCGACATAGGATACTTTTTAACCAAAATTTTTTTTTTACTTTTTACCGAAAATCACGAACGGGGACGGGAAAAATGGGATTAAGCGTACGAAGTGGCGGGCAGAAGCTAGTAATTTTATATAAAAAATCTAGACATATAAACGATCTAACCTCGATAATCCTTGTTCCCGACTTCGATTCCCTGGTCAGACAAGGTTTAAAGGTTATAGTTGTGTGTGGATTGCTATATAGGTGTGTTTAACCTCTGCCTGTGACATCAGGCATTGGCGTGATGTTATGTATAGTCCGATGTAACTGTTCCAATGAAAGAGATGGATATATGTAAGTGAGAAAGAGATGCAAAACAAATTGTATGTCAGCGGTAGAAATATATATATTAACTATTTACTCACGCAGTTTCACTCGCGGCGCAGTTCCAATTGAGTACTTGCTCTTAAATTATTTCGACTGTTCAATACAATAAAATATTAAAAAATAAACACACTTTCATTAATTGATTTTATGACAATTTAAATTTAGTATATTTCCAGCAAATTTTTAACAAATAACTATGCTGTTTGACGCTAAAAAAACGTGACGTCACAATACACAATCTCGTACAAAATTCATAGAACACTCTCGTTTTTGACAGTTCGAAAAATTATTGAATTTGACTAGTTGGCACGTACCGAATTGATCGTGATATATGGACAAGCCTTCCTCGGTATATGGATTATTTAACATTGAATTTTCAAATTCAGACCAAGTAGTTCATTAGAATCTACAAAAAATCTTTTCAGATTTATAACATAACTAGCTACTTCCGCGCGGTTTCACACGCTCTGCTCAGCTCCTATTGGTCGTAGCGTGATATTTTAGCCTATAGCCATCCTCGATAAATGAGCTATCTAACACAAAAATAATTATTCAAATCAGACTTGCAGTTACGGAGATTAGCGCGTTCAAACAAACAAACAAAAAAACAGCTTCCGCTTTATATAATAGTACAAGCTGCTTCCGCGCGGTTTCACACGCTCTGCTCAGCTCCTATTGGTCGTAGCGTGATGTTTTATAGCTTATAGCCATCCTCGATAAATGAGCTATCGAACACAAAAAGAAGGAGATTAGCGCGTTCAAACAAAGAAACTTCCGCTTATATCTACTATATAAAAATAAGTCGGGTTTTCCTTCCTGACGCTATAACTCCAAAACCCACGAACCGTCTACGGTTTTGCATTCGTTGGAAAGGTCTCGGGCTCCGTGAGGTTTATAGCAAAGAATGTTACATAAAACGAAGCCAGGTTTGCTAGTAATAGTATAAGATTATCCTTTTACCGCTGACATACAATTTGTATGTATATGTAGATAAATACGTGTCTTTTAAATAAGAAATATCATAAAAGTGTAGGTCCAAATAGTTAATAAACGAAATTTTACTATAATAGACTTAAAAACGACAAAGTAAATGAATTAATTTGTTCAGTTTATGTTCAAAATACTTAAATGCTACTCAATTTTAAAATGCTATCAAATATTTTCTGCCGTTACAAGTTATAAATAAAAACTATTTTTTAAGTCAAATCGGTTTCAATGAGCTGTATTCTACCAATCAAGCCCTTTCGTTTGATATCCATAGTGACGGTAGTTGTGGAAAAATTAGATTATATTGTATGGTCATCAAGATTAAGAGTGTGTACCAAATATCAGATCGATCTGTCGTCAGGAAGGGGGTGGAATTACAATTACTAAAGACCCAAACAAACAAACAAACGGGGCAAAGTTAAATAAAACTGTTCAATGATACAGATAGCGCAATATTTAAGTTTAAATTTAAAATTGAGTAGCATTTGAGTATTTGAGCTCTACTCACATAACTGTTAGACGAAAAATCTCACACACTTCAAAGTTATGGGCCCCTGTCGTAGCTCGAAACGAGTCGAGCATCCTCGAACAGTTACGTGAGTAAGCCGTACAATTTACTTAAAGAAAGAGTAAAGTTCACTTTTCTTTGTTTTATTATTAAAATATTGTTATGTATTTATTTTCAAAAATATTTCTGAGTGTAAAGAATTGGATATATGATTTTTATTACAATTATAAGTAACTGACATGAATTTGTGTATAATTAGCTAAATTATTCAGTATGCAGGTAAGAAAATAAATATTGTTTCAGTACAGAGACAGTAACATCGGTTGTCTAGAGCCGACCAATGGTTACAAAAGATATGGCTTCGTTACAAAGCATACAATTCAGTATAACAATAGCTACTGTCTCTGTACTGAATCTATCTTATTCCTTATCTGCATACTGAATGACTTGCTGATATTTTTGTAAAGAAAAACTATTCAATACATTTAATTATTATGTTTTTGTCTTACGTAATTGTTTGACGAGGAACTCGACTAGTTTCAAGCCATGCTATACTCGAGTAGCCAGTAGCAGCGCGACAGTCGCCGCGTCGCAGGTCGCGGAATGCTGCTTATGAATATGAGCCTCTAGCATGGCTGGCACTAGTCGAGTTCCTCGGCTAACAGTTACCAAAGTCGAAAGTATAATGGTTTAGTATGTGCCACGGAAGTTTTAAATAAATTATTGTTTTATAAAAATATACAAGGTGTTGTTTTAAAGCCGCGTTATTTTCTAGGAGGTAACTCGGTTAACGATTTTGAGTCCGAATCAATAAAAAAATGTAGGTAAATATTTTTAATTTTTCTGTAAATTATGAAAATCCGTAAGTGTGAACTACACGCCGCCGTCTTGTAACTAGCTTTATATCGCTGTTTAACACACACAAACTTAAACACGTAATTGATATTATTCTTAATTCCATAAAACTCCAATAAGAAACATTGCTGTCGCTTATTCTGAAATACTGTCGAACTTAAACGATTTATTATAGCCGTATTTTTAACTATTGGTCCGAAACTTTTTCTTACATTGAACCTTTATGACTTCTGTGATATGCGCCCGAGAAATGACACGGTTTCAAAACTACACCTTGTATAATGTTTTATGTTTATTGTGAAAATTTGCGATACTTTTTGTTAAGTTAATATAATTCATGTACAAATCTCCTGACAGGATAAAAATCTATGATGCTTCCTGAAATATATGTTTTTAAACGGGAAAAGAATTTTCAAATGAATAAATTTATTTTCTCTTTTATAATATTATATTAGTTACGATTGGGTTCTTGCGTTGATAAAAAATAAATTATTTTGACTGTTCAATACAATAAAATATAATCACATTTTCATTAATTGATTTTATGACCAACTTAATTTTAGTATTTATCTAGCAATTTTTTAATAAATAAGTATGCTGTTTGACGCTAAAAAACGTGAATACACAATCTCGTACAAAATTCATAGAAAACTGTCGTTTTTAATATTGAATTTGGCTAGTTGGCAAGTACCCAATTGGGATTTAAAATAATATATTTGGTTTAATGTTAAATTTTCACATTAAATATATAATCAAAAGTACCAGGAGTGCATTATGTATTAGGAGATTGACTTTTCATAAAGACTCAGAAACGAATGTGTTTAAGCGAAAATCAACCTTAAAACCTAGACTTTAAGACTTGTTTTAAAATTTGTTACTATTTATGTTATTCCAAAGTGAACTTTATGCAATTAAATGATAGAATTGATATTTCTTCAGTATGAATGCATTGGAACAAAGGAATTTGGACTGTAACTTGTGTAATATAGAGTTGAGAATGGCTTGCGGAGCGGTTGTCAGGAGATGAGCGATGACACACGGATAAATGAACGGGCACACACGGAAAATGTCAACAAAGTATAAATAAATCAATAAATATAGGCCTTTATGGATAAATTATCATTACGCCTTTTATTTTGAAACTCCTTGTCCCGTACAACAGGATAGATGCCTAATTTTTATTTTAATGTCCGTCTGGTAGATTATTTTAAATCATTAGACACGTAGGTATTTTTTCTTTTCTCACAAAATTAATTGCTTTCGACGATATTTTAATTTGAAATGTCATGTGACGTCACAGCGTGCTACATTTTACAACACGTTGTGACGTAACTACCTCCCACTCCTAAACTTAACGCCATTTTATCTAAGTATTGTAGCTTTATACGAGAAAAAAATACGTGTCTAGTATTTTTTTATTATCTAACTGACGGACTAATTAGATTTTTAATTTTCTTACCCTGGAAACTAACCTATTGTCTAGTTTCCTAGGTTTAAAATAAATTGTTTCAACTGTTCAATGCAATAAATAATTAAGAAATAATCATACTCTCATCCATTGATATGACAATTTACCTACTTTTGGATGTTTTTTAGCTAATTTTAAGGAAATAAGTATGCTATTTGACGCAGAAATATGATGACGTCATAAGTTGCGATCCAATACAAAATCTATAGAAATGTATCGTTTTTGACATTTCATTAAAAGTATCGAATTTGATTAACTGGCAACTACCGTATTCCCGTTTTGTTCAAAAATATTGAATTTATTCGCATTTATAGCTAATAGATTGACTTGTTTGTCGATT